AAAAGAAAAAAAAGCCAAAATCGATTTTCGTACATATCTAAAAATGGTAATTTGGCTTGCCTTTTGCATAACTTTTGTGCAATCTAACGAATCCAAGTGAAATTTTAGTATGTTGTACGTTGGGATCTACCAAACACGTGATATAACTTTCATGCTGCGTATACTTACCCGTTCTTGAGCAATCACGATCCAAAAAGTGTCCACACTTATATGGTAGGCCACTGTATGAAATTGTATTTAATATCAAACAATTATTAATATATTTGATAGCATTTCTTGATATTTAAAACTTTTTTGTTTTGAGACTACTTTAGACAGGATTATTACTAGTAAATCTAAAAAATAAAAAAAATATTAAAATTATTTTTCTAATTAAATAATTTATTATTATATATGTATATAATTTTTTAATATATTTTTGTTTTTATCATTATCTCTATACTTATTATTGTTATCCTCATCTATACTATTATTATTCTCATCTATATTGTTATAATTGTCATTATTATTATTATTATTATTTTTGCTTATTTTGCTTTTATTTTTATTTTCATATATATTATCATCTATATTGTTATTATTCTCATAGTTATTATCATCATTCTTATTTACTTTACTTTTATTTTCATCTTTATTTATATCATTATCCTTATTCACTATTTTTGGTTTATCTATTTTAAAATATAAAAAAATAGTTAGATTTTTTTATATTTTAAACAATTAATTACTAAAAAAATATACCTAGTTTTAAAATTGAAAAAATATGTAATTTTTCATATTTAATTTTATAATAATTATTTTCACTATCTAGCTTTTATCAGATGCTTTACTATTCTCATCATCTAGATCTTTATTAGTTATATTAATAAATTTAAAAACTTCATCTTTTATTATTATTTTATCTATAATATTTTTATTATTATTTGAAATTATTTATTAAAACAGAATTGTTTGTTAGTATTATCACTATATATTATTTTAATTTCATCTTCATTTGTCAGAAATTGCATGCAACTAATATTCTTTTTAAATTGAATAGATTTGTTAAATACAAAATTGTATTAAATTATGATTATCTCTATATTCTAAAACAAAATAATAATAATATACAAGCTAATCAAGCTTTTATAAAACTATTACTAACTATATAAAAAAATCAATTTATTATTATTGACTTTTGCTATAAAAAATATAGTATTATTAAGAAAAATAAATAAATAAATTTAATAACAATATGCAAACTTAAAGGCTTGCTTAAATTATTAAACAAATATCAAGTTTTATTAAGTTCTTATGTAGCTAATTAATTGCTATATTTAATTATTAACAAAATATGAATTTACAATTTGTTATACTTTAAAACAAGCAACTTTGATAAAAAATTAAAATTAATAAAAGTTGGTATCTAAGAGTTTATATATAAAAACTTTTTAAATTATATATAATTAGAAGTTAATATAAGAATATTTTTGATTATACAATTCAATTATTGCAAATTAGCTAAGGCAGTTCTTTATTTGTAAAGCTATTATATATTAATTTTTCTTAATAATAAAAATATTTTTTTATTTATTATAGCAGTTTTGCTCATAATAGAACTTCTTTATATTTTATTAAATAGTTATAAGCTTGTTTTTATAAAAACTTATTTTTATTTAATGATATTTAAAAAAAAGATCTTGGTAACAAAAACTATAGCAATAATAGATTAATTTGATACTTTATATCATATATAATATATTAAAAAAAATATAAAAAGATATATTTATAATTTTTTAATTAAATTAAAAAAAAGATCACTCTAGCAAACTAGCTAGTTGTTTTCATAATAGTATACTGTATAGATATTGAAAACTAAAGAGATTAAATTACTTAAAAATTAGTTAATTAGCAATTCACATAAGAACAAAAAATTTTAATTATAAAAGTTGAGATAAATATTTATATAGTTTTAATAGTAATATGGAATCCAATTTTCCAAAATTATATAGTAAAAAGACAGGATTTTTTAAAATTTAAAATTTCAGCTCTTAGTAAAGTATCTTTTATTTTTAGAAAATTCTACTGAACTTTTAATAAAAAAAAAGCCAAATACCATATTTTTATGCCTATATAATATTATATTTCAACTATTAATACTTTATATTGTAGGCAAACTAGATTCTAGTATTTTGGAATTTTATAGTAAATTTGCCCTACTTTTATTATATAAACTGTCCTGTTCTTACGTAAATTGCTAATTAAATATAAAAA